GAGAATAAATTTCTCTTTGTTAAAGTCATCCACTTGTGGTGTTTCTGTTCACACAGCAGCACTAGATGACTACAATACCAGGACATCACCCATTTTTAAAAATTTAGTACAAGGAATTGAATACAAGAATATTAAGGGAAAATTCAAGGATAGTTGAATTTGAGCATCTGAAGAAAAACAACTGAACAATCATCTATATGAGACCAAAAAGGCAACATCTGCCCAAAAGCAAAGATGAGAAGGCAGGAAGGGGCAGGAAAATGAGACAAACAGAAATGGGAGCTCAGGGTGGTAATGGGGAGAGTGCTAACACTTTGCAGGGACTGCGACCAATGTCATGGAACAATTTTTATATAAATTATTTAATGGGAAACTAATTTGCTCTGTAAACCTTCACCTAAAGCATAGTAAAATGTTCAAAAAAAACTATAGTGACATAAAAGAAATCTGAGATATTTGCCATTTGGCCAAAGCAATCCTTCTGGTTCATTTGCTTTCACATAAAGAAGCAGTACAGTTTTGCAGTAAGCTTGTGGATTCTGGAGTCACACTGCGTGGTTGTGTGTGAATAATAGCTCTAACACTACCTGGTTGTGTAACCTGGAGCAAGGTACTTAGCCGCTCCATACCTCAGTTTCCCTATCTGTAAAACGGGTGATAATGTTAGTATTAACCTCATTAAGTTGTTTAGAGGAGTAAGTGGGTTAATATACACAAAGCACTTTGAACTGTGTCTAGAATATTCTGAGTGCTTAAGAGATGTCACTAATTGTTATCTTTCATCCAAACTTCTGGTGAAAACTTCAGATCAATTCTTTCAATTTTAAAGTAATTTTTTAAGATAAACTTTCTCAGTTCTTTAAAAACACCTGTTTGATGTGGCTTTCTATTCTTTTTATTTACTTTGCTCCTCAAATTCTTCAAAGCTGGTTTGAAAACAGATCCAGTTATCATGAATTTTTCTTCTAGTATAAATCTGAAAATGATACATTAGCTCCAATGTCAGATTTGAACGTGAAGATCTTTCCCTCCTTCCAAATAGAAGAGAGAAGGATATATTCTTAAGAGGATAATTTGTACAAACAAACGTGTTTATAACCTGTGACCTGCAAAGGAAATACCAGGTACATATATAAAATGCAAGGTCTTACGTGTTGTACTAAATAAAACACTGACTAAAGTCCAGCTGACTCTGTAGCTTACTGACTGCTCTGCTGAGATACGTACTTTGAAATTACCATGTTACACGAAACAGTCCTGTAACGGTCAGACTACGAGAGTCATTCCCATTTCCAACCCATTCATTTCATCAAAAATACATTTGCTTTCAGTCTGAAATCTGCTAGTGTCAGTAACATAATCATCTCCTTAAAAATTTCAAAATAGCTATACCTT